AACTCATCCTCTTCTTCCTCTCCTCCCATCTGCTTGTTCCCTGCCGGTACATGTGCACTGCAGCAGAATGTGATTGGCTCAGAATGCTGACACTCCCCCTTCTGTGCAGGCCATTGAATCCACACAGACTGACCTAGGTGAATGTTACACAATGGTAATGAGTTTTTTGAGTCTAAATAACGGCAATGATTTTTTTTATATCTGCATAAACACTTTGTATCATTGTAGATATTGCTCATGTTTTCCCCTTTGTGTTCTTCAGCAGATTTCACACTTTCCATTTTCCATCCCATAAAAGGAAAGAATTGTGTTTTCTATAGAAGACTGAGAGTGATGATGTATAAATCGTCTCCGTCTGCCCATCGTAGTGTGTGGTTGTGGCCATTGCACCGTGCATTCTGACACCTCCGCTTATTATCCCGATACAAGAACTGCCAGTCAGCTGCTCAGTGAGGAGGTGGCCCCGGGGGGGACACACACGTCACTGGATGTTACATCTGTGGTGGCCCTGAGCGGATCAGGTGGAGGGGCAATTTATGGGGTGTGTGCTCAGGCATCTGATGTTTAAAATCCGCTGCGGGTTAGAATTCAAACTGGGACCCAGAATGTGTTAATTAGTCCCAAGAATGCCTGATCTGACACACTGACACTTGGGGATCATGAACAATGACACACTGACACTTGGGGATCATGAACAATGACACACTGACACTTGGGGGTCCAGAACAATGACACACTGACACTTGGGGGTCCAGAACAATGACACACTGACACTTGGGGGTCCAGAACAATGACACACTGACACTTGGGGGTCCCAGAACAATGACACACTGACACTTGGGGGTCCAGAACAATGACACACTGACACTTGGGGGTCCAGAACAATGACACACTGACACTTGGGGGTCCAGAACAATGACACACTGACACTTGGGGGTCCCAGAACAATGACACACTGACACTTGGGGGTCCAGAACAATGACAGACTGACACTTGGGGGTCCAGAACAATGACAGACTGACACTTAGGGGTCCCAGGACAATGACACACTGATATCCAGGACAATGATACAGGACTCCCTGGTTGTGGTCCAGCATCGTGTGCTTGGTGTTTGCGTTGCTTCTTCTCCCGGCAGTCGGGTCTCGTCTCTTCTCTTTCGCGCTCTCGTTGTGCTGATGAAATGTGTAATTTGGGTGAAGCGAATGGCGCATCAAATGAATGACCTCATGATCATTGTTAAAGGAAGCGCTCACTAGGCAGCGTTACAAGAGTCCCCGCTTTCTTCTCAGGCGTCAGAATTTTATCTCTTTATTGTTCAGCAACTGGAAAGTAAATCTCATAATTGTGCCCGGCAGTCATATAAAAGATTTTCGTCTATTTAGAGCCCAGGTGCCCAGCCTGCGAGGGGCCACATGCAGCCCTTTGGAGTTTACAGTGCGGCTCTTGGGCCACAGCAGCCAATACTTGGAGTCCTGTAATAACCGTAAATGTCTTCATCAGTGTGAAGGAGATGCTGGGACTTGTTGTGTCACCCGTCTAGTCTGCCTGTCTTTAACAGGAAAGGTTTGTGTCGTGTACACATTATTTATTGTATATATGTTGGTTTCTGTGGCGGGCTGCATCCTGTGAGCGTATATTAATGTACCGTGATCCCAGAGGTAATTAGCACGTCATTAGTGACAGACCACTTGAGCGTGCTGCTGTATTAACCCCTGAGCGTCTGCATATTCTGTGGAGCATAATGGAGGTATCACCGTATATGGCGGGGGTGGGGGTTAGAGGAAGCAGAATTTTACCTCTGTACCAATTGGCCCTCCATCCTTCTCCAAATATAGATTGTCAGGTCAGTTTTCCCAAAATACTCAGAAAGACGCAGATGGATGGAGAGCATATCAAGGGGCCTATTTATAAAAGCCGCAGAAATGCCATTTCTTCATTTCTTCTCCTGGAAAATGTCACTTCGGTTCTATTAAAAGCCGCCCCGGGCACTTTGTGATCTCATTTCCCCAGATTCCAACAAGGGTGAAACATATTTTGGAAATCCAGATCTGTTCGGAGAGGTTGCCAGTTCTCAATGGCTTCCTGTCAGCTTGTATGCCGATAATAATAATAAAGAACATGTACAGCAGATGATCTCTATCAGCCTAGTGGGAGGTTTCTGGGACAGTCAGTGGTTATTGTGTTCAGGGATACATATTATGATAAAAGGATACAATTCAATATATTAACAACCAGTTACAAAGCCATCCACAACTCCTCCCCTGGATATATCTCCAATCTGGTCTCAATGTATCACCCTACCCGTCCCCTCTGCTCCTCCCAAGACCTCCTGCTCCCTAGCTCCCTTGTCAACTCCTCCCATGCTCGCCTCCAGGACTTCACTAGAGTCTCCCCCATTCTGTGGAACTCTTTACCCCAACCTGTCCGCATATCTCCTTCTCTGACTACCTTTAGGCTCTGTTCACACCTAGGCATATCGAATATGCGCGTTTGTGGCGCGTTTCGTAACGCAAGTTTTTACCGCGATTTGGGGATTAAAAAAACCCGCGTTTCCGAGGGCTACTTGACTGTATCCCAATGGAAACGCGGAACAAAAACGCCGCAAAGAAGCTCATGTACATTTTCAGGCGTAGGCCGTTTTGTAGCGTGTTCAGACCGGCTGAAATGCGGCAAGGTGTGAACCAGACCCATAGAAAACAATGGGATTTTCATGTTTGAGCGTTTTGTAGAGCGTTCGTAGAGCGTTGAACGCGCTACAAAACGTACAGTTGTGAACCAGGCCTTAGGCAATCCCTTAAGGCTGGGTTCACACCTAGGCGTATCGAATATGCGTGTTTGTCGCGCGTTTCTACTGCGATTCGTGGTAAAAAAACGTGCGACAAACGCGCGTTTCCGAGGGCTACTTGGCTGTATCCCAATGGAAACGCGCGACAAAAACGCCCCAAAGAAGCTCCTGTACTTGGGCGTAGGCACGTTCACACGGCCTGTAATACGCCCAGGTGTGACCCATACCCATAGTAAATAATGGGATTTCGGTGTTTGAGCGTTTTGCAGAGCGTAGGAACGCGCTACAACACGCCCAGGTGTGAACCGGGCCTTAGACTCATCTCTCTAGAGTCTCTCCCATCCTCTGGAATTCTTTACCCCAACCTGTCCATCTGTCGCCCACCTTGACTGCCTTTAGGCGATCCCTTAAGATTCGCCTCTTCAGGGAAGCCGATCCCACCTCAACCTAACCGCTCAACCATTCATCCCCACACAGCTCCCTCCTCATGTATCACTGGCCCCTCACTTTTAGAGTGTAAGCCCACAGGGGCAGGGCCCTCCTTACCATCTTGTCTTGTATTGTGATTGTAATGTCTTCCTTATATTGTAAAGCGCTGCGCAACAGGAAAATTGTATTTCATACGTACCGTAATTCTCCTGTCCAGCTCCATGGTAGCACAAGGCCACTCGTGTGCTGCCATGGAGCTGACAGGAAAATAACATTGTGCACAGGAATAGCAATCTATCATTTGTATACAATGTATCTTTTAACACATTTCCGATAATAGTGCCTCTGACTTCCCATGCCTGCGATAGGGGGAAGATGGGGTACCCAGATCTGAAATCAGTTCAGCGACATTATTTTTTGGTAAAATGTGGAATGAGGGGAGATGTCTCTCACCAGATAGCAGTAAAAACCTAGCAGGGGTACTAATCCTTACCAACTCTATCCAACATGAAGAAAAAAGCGGTTTCAGTTGAGGACTAAAGAAGGCTGCACGCGTTTGTTCCTCGGGCTGTCCGCTTTTTATCATTTCATCATCACAAGTCCTCGTGTTAAAGGAGAACTATGGGGTTAAGGCTTTTCCCCATAGTCCTCCTTAGGGTAACGGGAGGACACAAACTAGCGTCCTCCCCTCACCCTAGGCTCAGTATACCGCGAGCAGCATACTGAGGCGCCGCAGCTGAAGCGGATCCCGACAATTGTGCCGGGATCCGCCCAGCTGCGTGAGTGACAGCTGGCTCTGCCAATCTAGAGGCAGAGCCAGCTGTACCCTCCCCCGTCCATTCCGCCAGTCAGCGCTGGAGGATCGGAGCGGGGAGGGGGGAATCCAGTACCTCCCCTGTCACGGCAGAGAGCCGTGACAGGATCGAGAGGTGAGCGAACGCCGGTATGTGTTCTCTCACCTCCCGATCTACTGAGCCGACCTGTGACAGTCTCATTGCCACACGTCGGCTAGAACTACGAGGTGAGTGAAAAGCCCCTCCCCCCATAGTTCTCCTTTAAAATGTGTCGGGAACGCTGGGAAAAGCCTTGTGACGCTCATGGCCATTCATTTGCTTTATAAATAGGACTTTGGTCTTGCTTTGTGGTGGTCATGCTTATATCCCCCAACATCCCCAGGAGATGAATAAGTACCCATTGCCTAGGGCAGCCTTCCTCAAATGTATTAGGTGTTGGGATAACAACGCAAGCATGCCGCAGCAGAGCATGGGCATTGCTAGATTTGCTCTGAATATTGCAGAGTATGGGTCTACCATGTACACTGCTCACGTTTTCCACTGTCCTTCTAACCACAAAAAGAGAACGTAAATCTGTTCTGATATATATAGTTTCTGTCTAAAGATACCTTGAAGAAGGTCATTAAAACATATGGGGGGAGCGACTTAGCAACCTGCAGCTGCTGAGACAATAAACACTGTGGGGGGAAATGATCACAACTGGAGCAGACAAAATGTGGAGTAGATGTGTACGGCGACCAATCAGATTCTCTCTTCAGTTTGTTCAGATTTGAAAATGAAAGAGAGAAGCTGATTGGTTGCCAAGCACAGCTGCTCCAGATTTTTTTCTGCTCCAGTTTTGATAAATTGCCTTTTGTGCGTTCAGGAGTGTGTAATGTACAGCACAGCTTGTAACATATAGATGGCAGGGGTTGTCCACAAATGTTTTCATTGTTATGCGTCCCTTTTGTCTCCAGGATGTTCTGGTTAATTTCCATCTTTCTTTTTTGCAGTACAGGATCGGGCAGCTGTACATGATCACCAAGCACAGCCACGAGCAGAGCGACCGAGGCGAGGGGGTGGAGGTGGTCCAGAACGAGCCGTATGAAGACCCCATACACGGCCCGGGACAGCTTACCGAGAAGAGGGTCTACCTGAACAGGTGAGGAGTCCATCGTTCTCTCTGCTGTCAGAGTTCTCTCTTTCTGCACATGGCAGGTTCTGACCCTCCAGTTTTGAAACATCCAACATTTTAAACCAATATCCTCCAGATCAAGAACAGGAAGAATACATGTAATGAACGCGTCATTCATTTCCTGATCTGTAAACATCAGCTCACATGTTATTGATTGCTTTTGGATGCTAAAAATGTTCACCGGCACAATGACTCTCCATGGCAGAGGGTGCAATGGGGTGTGGACTGTGTTGGTGTGTGTGTGTGGCTTTTGTATGAAGCCTCCTATCACCCCCATTGAATGCATGTGTGTCAGGAATTAATTCTCTCATTCCTTCAGATCAGGAAATATTCTTCTAAGCATGATCAGTGCACATGGCCGGTGTACCTGGTAGTCATGTCCTGTTCCTGTGTGCCAGGGGGCCTGTTAATAAAACGATGATATTGAGATATTTAGCGTCAGAAATAATAATAACAGTTACAGGCAGCAGTTATGTATAAAGCTGGTCTGTGAACATAAGTAGATTTTAGGCTAGGCTAGGCGACTCCTGACCGCGTGGCAATCCGCGCGGTTTTGTGTACGATTGCCGCGCGGTTGGGAGTCGCCAAGGTGTGAACCGATCGTGCTGTGGGTGCCATTATATTTGTAATGGCACCCCAGTCGCGCCGGGCGGATTGCGCCGTTTCCCGTCACGATTCCGCCCGTGCGAGTGAACACTAAAAAAGCCGCGAGTCACGTGTCGCAAAAAAGAGGTACTTGTACCTTTTTTTAGCGATTGCCGCGCAGATGTCACCCTATTAAAATCAATGGGGCCGCGCGGCAATCACTGTGTGCACCTGAACACGGGTGTAGTGCAGGTGTGAACCTAGGCTTATAGTCGAGTCTTACCATGTGACTCATCGATCAGTGCTGAAAGATTGGACGTTAGGTGATGTCCTTTGATGGCTACGTTGGTAAAAATGCAAACTTTTATAATAGTACGTTCCGTTTCTTACTTTAGGAATGATACAGTTCAGTTACATTGGTTGACTCTCAGGCTGGGTTCACACCTAGGCGTATCGAATATGCGCGTTTGTTGCGCGTTTCGCGCTGCGTGTTTTTACCGCGATTCACGGTAAATAAAACGTGCGACAAACGCACGTTTCCGAGGGCTACCTGGCTGTATCCCAATGGATACGCGCGGCAAATACGCCCCAAATAAGCTCCTGTACTTCTTTGGGCGTAGGGCGTTTTGCAGCGCGTTCCTACGCGCTGTAAAACGCCCAGGTGGGATCCATGCCCACAGGCAATCATTGGTTTTCACACGTTGAGCGTTTTACAGAGCGTAGGAACGCGCTGTAAAACGCCCAGGTGTGAACCAGGCCTCAGAAAAAATTAGCAGGTAGCCCTTGCAGTGCGGGGTTCTTCTGCCTGGAGTTCTTCTTTAACCATTAGATCAGTAGATAGCTGGTGCAATACTCTGGCTCCTGCAGACTCTTCCTCCTGTCCATGCCCATACAGACATTCAGTAATGTGGACAGAAGGAAGTATCAGTGGACTAAAAGTGCAGGGACATCACCACACTTGTATTCCATTAAGAACTACAGGCCCCTCTGCCACAGTGGCCGACAGGACTTCATGCAGCTGGTAGTATCTCCATGCACAGTTACCGTCAAAGGATCTGTGAATGGATGATGTGGATGTGTGGGCCGAGCTACGTACAGCTGAGCCACATTCATATTTATAAGCAGGGAGATGTACCCCACAATTCAGGTAAGTGGGGTGCAGGGTGGTAATGTGACCACTTAAAGGGGTTCTAAACCCTATGGTGTTTTTGTATATACATGAGGATATATCCGAAATTGCTTGGGCGGCCGCAAAGCATCTTGGGGCGGGCGCATGCGCATCTCGGATTTTCGGCTGGGAGACGAGCAGAGACGCAAGGTAAGTCTATGGACGGCGTGCACTCGCATGTAGACACCGCGGGATCAGAAGTGCCAGCAAGGACAGAGGAGTCAGCGCTGGATCGGAGGCCCGCCGCAGCGCTGGAGAGAAGGCTGAAAAGGACAGGAAAGAAGAGGAAGATCGGATTAAGAGACATCATTTAAGGTAAGTGCTGACATCAACATTGGGGGGGAGGGAAAAAATGTATCCTTTAATGTCACTTTAAGAACTAAAGGCGCCTCTGCCACAGTGGCTGACAGGACTTCATGCAGCTGGTAGTATCTCCATGCACAGATACTGTCAAACGATCTGTGAATGGATGATGCAGAGCTACGTACAGCTGAGCCACATTCATATTTATAAGCAGGGAGAAGAACCCCACAATTCAGGTAATTGGGGTGCAGGGTGGTAATGTGACCCCTTAAAGGAGAACTATGATGTGAGTGCTTTTCACTCACCTCATAGTTCTAGCCGACCTGTGACAATGAGACTGTCACAGGTCGGCTCAGTAGATCGGGAGGTGAGCGAACACATA